GAGGAATGTGGGTCTTAGGTTCTACCTGTGGTGAGCTATGGGCCTGGCTGCTTTCAGCTTGGTTGGCCTGCTCCATGTCTTTACATTTTTTAAATGAGTTGCCAACTTTTAAGGATTCGATTTCATAATTTTAAAAAAATTACAAATTCAGGCTTGTTTTGAAGTGCTGGAAGTAGTAGACTATCAGGCCTGGGACCCCAACTGTTGAGCTGGAAGAGGTGCACACCAGCTTCTTGCTCCAGAGAGGAGTGTCAGACCACCTCCTACCCCCACACCTGCCCTGACCCAGTTCATTCACACACATGTGAGCCTCAGGTTGGTCAGGATTCTGGCCTTGATCTCTTCTCCAGAAGCTTCCACTCTCTACATTCCTGCACAGAGCTACCACAAACTCTGGATCAAAACTCAGAATGTGCCTTCCGAGATGAGTTAGAACTAGAACCTACCATCTCAGCTCAGTATGCTGGCACACACATGTGATCCAAGCAATTGGAAACCTTAGGCAGGAAGACAAGCCCCAAACCAGCCAGGGATATGTAGTGAGACCTTATTTTTAAAATTAAAGATCAAGAAAAACATCTTATCATCCATGTATGATGACAGTAAAGAACTACATGATTAAATACAAACGTTGAATTCATTATGTGCTCAAAGAAACCCCAGTGTCTGTTAAACCCAGAGTGTCTAACAGATTTAAGGTGACAGACAAAAAGGATACTAAAACACCAAAAGGCCAATGAATTGGAAAATGATATGATCAATATGATAGATGAATGGCTATGATTCTTAATTAAGAGTCTATAAGATAAAGGAGATCTGATAAAAGATAAATACACCTTCAAGTAATTCACAGGAGAAACACAAATGATCAAAGAATGCACAGACAGATGGTCCATTTTAGAAGCTCCTTAAAGCAGCAGTTCTCAACCTGTGGGTCACGACCCCTTTGGGAGTCAAATGACCCTTTCACAGGGGTCACCTAAGATCATCGGAAACACAGATATTGACATTACAATTCATAACTGTAGAAAATTACAGTTATGAAGTAGTAATGAAAATAATTTTATGGATGGGGGTCACCACAACACGAGGAACTGTAGTAAAGGGCAGCAGCATTAGGAAGGTTGGGAACCTCTGCAAAGGAAGTGACTACACATGAGATCTCCATTTTCATCTCAGACACCAACATAGGAAACAGAAGTCTGTGGGCTGAGAGCTGTGTCCCGGACACCATAAGTTCAGCAAAGACTTCTCTTCAAATGACACTGACTTTAGTGTTCAACAGCGTAAGTGCCATCAGACACTGTGAAAAGTAATTTTGCAATGTGTATCAAGAGCCATAAAGTAGTTCTTGCAGCCCAGTAATTCAACTTCTTGAAATTTACCCTAGGAAAACCATCAGCACAGTGGACAAAGATTAATGTGTGTGGGTGTTAATCACAGCATAATTTATAATATCAAATCTATTAGAAACCTAAACACTTAACAATGAGGAGTGATTAAATAAATTACAGAACATTCAAGTGATGCCTAATTATGCAGACATTAAAATTACATGTTCAAAGGCCATTTATTGATTCAGGAAAATGCTCATGAAAACATTTAAAGCTTGCAGTTTAGAAGATTTTCGTGTAACTAATTAAAGTGACCATTATTCTGACTTTCCACTGACTTTCTAGTTAATGCATTTTCCTGCTCACAAAGCATCTAACATTTCTTCCTTTATGTCTTTCATTTTGTTCTGTTATTTTGTGTTTTGAGACAAGGTCTCATGCTGGCACCTAGGCTGGCCCGGAACTCACAGCAGTCCTCCTGCCTCAGTCTCCTGAGTTCTGGGATGGTAAAGGTATGAGCCATGATGCCCTGCCCTCTCTATATACATCTTATTTCAGGTAGGAGTCAAATGAGGAGACTCAGACCACGACAAACAAATTGCCTGAGGGAGCTGAAGAGGTGATGGAGAGTAACACATGACGAGCATCTATGAAGGAGTGAGACACGTGCTACATGGCGGGTGGTAACTGCTTCAAATGAAACCCGGAACAGAGAAGGGATGGGGAGGAAACAGACGATGAGACAGCAAGACCAGGGCACAGAAGAGACCTGAAGACAGGGAGGGCAGAAGCCAGGATGTGCTGCTGAGCGGTAGGAAACTCACAGCACAGCACCGCAGAATCAAAGCTGAAGAATTTCCCTGTGTGATGTATTAATAGTTTTATGTAGATTAGACAAGACACTTACAAGAAGCATTATTTGTTTCTTGTAACACTGACCACAAGAAGGGCCCAGAGGGATGTCATTGTGGAAAAGCAGAACCATGTCCCTGCCATGAAAAGCATTAACAACAAAAACCGAAAGTCTGAGAGCACCAAAATAAACTGTCTGCATAAAAGAGATGGCAGTGAAGGGAGCAGGAAGCTGCAGCCTGGTGCGCAGATGACTGGGCTGTGCAGAGGCAGACTCGAATCTGCAAGGTCATCAGCTGCCTGAGTGCCTCTCCCGCCTCAGAGCCTGGATCCGGCCTGCACAGCTACTGCTCCCCTTCTGAGGAACAGCTGGCCATCTTCTACTCATTTCATGTGTACCTCAGCGCAGGAGCTGTTTACACAGGAGGTTCACGGGGAACACAGCTGGCCAAGAAACCAAATAGCATCCCAGCCTAGAGCCAGCCATAGGACCCACACATGGAAGAATCAACAGAGCCCAATGTGGTTGAAAATTGCCAACATCTGTCTCAAGGGAAACTAGTGGCATAATTAATTCCATAAGGAAACGACCCATGCTGACAAGGGAACAATTTCTTGTGTCACTATAGGCTGTACCATCAGTTACACACACCAGCAGAATCAGAACTGCTCCTACAACCTCTCTGATTTCTAAAAGGGACCTGTTTGGACTCAGATAAATCACAAGGCTAATGCACTGGGCAGTTCAGCACCCACTTCCTCCCTTACTCAGCCTGGTCCTTCTCCCTCCGGAAGTCTGGCTTCCTTTTGCAGCTATACAGCATATCCTCATTGCTCTGCAAACTACGGGAGGAAGTTCTATAAAAGCCCTCTACAGGACCCTAGCCATTTCCACATCTGTTGCTTCCCCACTTCCTCTCTGCAGCTGTTTTGGCCCCTGATCACCCTTTGACTGCTTGAATTTCTACTCTTCCGTCTTTGCTTCTGTTCTCTCCAAGAACAGATTTGTTCTCCAAATCCATCAACGTCAGTGACCTTTACACTGGCTTTGTTTCTCCTACTGTCCATTTGCCTTCTTTGCTTCTGTTTAGTTGTACGTCCTCCTTCACCCTAAGACCAGCTCTTGTATTTGTGTTCTCTACTCTTAGGCTTCATCTACTAAAGCAGAACCGAACTAACATAAATCTTGACCGTTCGATGTACGGGTTGTCCATTCTCTTGCTGGTGTCTTGAGACTTCAAGAGTATGGCGGTTCATCTGGCTCAAACACCTGCAATTCTGTTGGTTCTCAGGCAAGTTTAGCCTGACAGTGGTGGGTTCATGTCCCACGAGATATGTACAGGGCCAGTCTGGATGCATGAAGCTGCTCACCCATGCTGAGGGGACAGCCTTCATCAACAGGGAAAGACCGACTTCCAGTGAAGAATATGCAGGCGGCTCTGTCCCTGTTAGAAAGGACCACTGCCGCTTGCTCTGTGCTGATCTTCTCTGCCTCACCCCCCCGCCCAACCCTGGTGTCATAGCCTCCGAGGCAACCCTTTGCCTAAGACACACACTATGTCACTGTGTTCCTCTGGTACGCCATAGGATTCTCTCAGCCTGGGAATTATTCCTTTCTATTCACATCACATTCAAGTTCATTCTTACTCATTCTTTTTTTTTTTCTAGCTTGAATCAACTTCTGCCACCTGACTTTTCTTTCTTTGAAATGGGACTTGCCCACATCCTGAATCTGTCTTTCCACTTCCTTCACTTGTCTCTGGCTTGGCTTTTGGTTCCTCAGTGCCTAAAATGCCTTTCCGTCTCTGTGGCTGTAACTCGGCTGCCCTCACCCTGAGAACTGACAGACTATGAGGATCCTGCAACTCTCAAGGTGTCCACTACATCACAAAAGCACAGCAAACCCAGGTTGGAGCCTTTACAATTGGATTCCTTCCTTGAAGACCAAAAAAACATTATTCAAGTTTATATCCAGTAGATGGTCGTATGAAGGTAGAAGGGCATAGGAAATGTCCAAAGAGCAACCTTTAAAACTAAATCTACTCAGAACCTGACCTTCCATGGATCAATATTTATTTAATCAACAGATAAGATGAATGGGGAAGCAGACAGGAGAGACGAGGGATGGAAGGAAGTGGCTGGGAAGCTTGAGATATTTTCAAAGCCTGAACTTTATCCTTTCAAAATAATGGGGCCATTGGCGACAAAAATCAAGTCAGCATGTGCACATTTCAAGTTTTACATTTTAAACCTATCTGTGTTAGGTGATGTAAGTTTAAATTTGACCATGTTCATGGAATTGAGCTTATCAAACAATGCTTATCAAATATTGGTACTTACAAGCAATGAAATGGACATATCACTGAAGAAATTTCAGACTTAGTTTATAGATGGTGGAAGTCCAGTGGGAGCACTTAGAGGTGCAACCCTAATGACCTTGATTAAAAGCTTGTCAATCTGTGACTGAAGGCCAGCACGCTCTCTGGAGTAGCCCTGGCTGAGCTGCAGAATATCCCTATCCACTTCTTCACACCCTGCCTCCTCAGCAGCCTGTCTTCCCTCTCCTGAGGCTCTGGTGTGAGACGCCTACTTCTTCCAGGCCCAGAAGTTTTCTCCCAAGCCTCTTTTTCTTGTCAGTGGCTCTCTAGCGGACCCTGAATTGCATAATCAGGCATTCTGAGGACTTACTGTTTTCTCTAAGGAGGGAGGATGCTGAGTAAATAAGAACATCAGACAGTAAAAATATAATAATCAGCCACCAACATAAGACACAGGACCAGGTAAGCAAGATAAATGTAGATAAAAATGTGGCACCTGATGGGCCAGAATGTAGATGTTGTGTCCAACGTCCTTTGGAGAGACACCGTCATCCCCTCCCTCCTCATCCCCGTGGTCACATTCCAGTCCTTGGTTATAGGCATTCTTCATCACATCCACCTAGCAATAAATAATGAATAAATAATGAGAACAGGGTCTGAAAGGTGGCAGCAACACATCAAATTGTTTGTGAGTTATAACTTAAAACTGGGAAGCTTCATGACAGCCCCAAATGTGAAAGCTCTAGATAAACAAATACTGCATTTTCTCTCCTATGCAGACTCTAGATTTAAATGTGTGCCTATCCGTAGGATGTGAAGGTAGACGGGGGACTGTGAGGAGAGAGAGAGCACTAACAGAAGGGGAAGTGGGCACCACAGGGTAATGGAAGACATGTGAAATGAAAGCTGCAGGTATCTGAGGTAAGGAAGGGGACCAACAAAGGGACAATGTGGAGGGGACTGAGAAGAAACAAGTGTAATGGCTCATCCTTTAGCTTCGGCTGCCAACTAGGCACAGCCTAGAGTTATCTGAGGGAGTGTCAGTTGGGAGACTGCTTCCCTCAGACTGGCCTGCGGAGTGCTTTCTTGACTGTGGATTGATGTGGGAGGGCCCAGCCCACTGTGGCCTGTAACATCCCTAAGCAGGTCTGGCCTAGGCTGTGTAAGAAAGGAAAATGAATGTGACCCTGGGCACGAGCCAGCCGGCAGCTGTCCTCTGTGGTTCCTGTCCTCTGTCCTCTGACTTCCCTCGTGATGGACTGTCTGGGAGTGTGAGCCAAATTAGCCCTTTCCTCCCCAAGTGGCTTTTGGTCAGTGTTTTGTCACAGCAGGAACAAAAATCCAACTAGTACAACTTATTTGTGCAAAAATGCCATTATAAAACTAACAATATATGCCAACAGAAAGTAATTTTAAAAATATTCTTGAAACACAGTTATTTCAATGAACATGGAGTCACATTGTGACAATGTTTCTGTTCACCTTCAACACTTCCGTTTCTTTGAACACTAGTACTCTGAAGTCTCCATGATTTAAGAGAATTTGGAATCCTGAGAAACATCCACTATTTATTGAGCATTTAAGAGGGAGCTGGAGACAGGGTGCTGGTCCCAGCACTGGGCCAGAAGAACCACAGTGGACAAGGAGACCTTCTCAGCTCAGGGCTGCACTGTACCCCAGGGGGTCAGCAGCGCACCGTTCCTATGGCGGGCATCTCACTCAGTTTGAGGGTGGATCATGAAGGAGGGAGCAAACGAAAGAAAGGGGTGCTGGTGACAAAAGAGCCTCTTTTCAAAGTGAGTGCACAGTGCTTTGTCAAACAAACAAGTAACCAGTACCCCACACAACCAGAGGACAAGGCATTCATAGACTTCTTACTCTCCTGGTATAGAGACGAGGCTTTCACTAAATAATGTGATGCCAAACTGCACATTTTCTGTCTCCATCTACACTTCTTGACTCCGTTCCTCACAGTGACTGTGGCACCAGCCTCCACAGGACTTCCCTACAGCACCAGCAACATCACTGATGTGAGGGGACTTTGTCATGGGAGCACTGAGCAGTATGGTTTGAGCATGCTCTCTGGGAATCTGGCACCCATTACTTTTAAAGCATGCCTCAATGACATCATAGTTTGTGTGCCAGAAGGGAAAAGGAATAGAGCTTTCAATTTGCACCCCATGAAGTCATGATCATCTCTCCCTCTTTCTCTGAGGCCAGGCATTATGTGACAGTTCATTCACAAGAACAATTCACAAAACACACAAAGAAAATGTATCTGTGTTTTTGGAAAAGTACAAACAAACCTTGGGGGTGTGGTAAACATGCTCCTCAGACCTTCCTTATATACAGTCATTCCTGGGTGTCCCTGGGGAACTGACTTCAGTACCTCCTGAGGATTCCAAGATCTGTGGATACTCAAGTCCTGCTATAAACTAGAGCAATCTGCAGGTAAACTATGCACCTATACACACCCTCCTGTATACTCAAAATCATCTCCAGGTTGCTTACAATATGTAATGTAAACATTGTGTGAATCATTGCATTGATAGGAAAAAAGAAAAAAAAATTAGTGTCTGAAAAAAAATTTAAAAAAAAAAGATGTGTGCCACCAAGCCTGGTTGCCTGGCGGTGGTGGCGCATGCCTTTAATCCCACTCGGGAGGCAGAGTCAGGCGGATCTCTGTGAGTTCGAGGCCAGCCTGGGCTCCAAAGCAAGTTCCAGGAAAGGCGCAAAGCTGCACAGAGAAACCCTGTCTCGAAAAAACCAAAAAATAAATAAATAAATAAATAAATAATTAGTGTCTGTAGGTGTTGGTACAGTGTGCTTTTTAAAAACGCTTCTTCGACCCACAGATTGTGAATCTATAGGACTAAGCCCACTAATATTAACAGCCAACTATACCCAGAAATCATTAAACTAACGCCAAAATAATTGATAATTCTTTTTTTTTTTTTTTGGTTGGGGGGTGGAGACAAAAGGCATTTGTATATAGTTAAGTAAAGTGTGGAAATTTAGCTAAGAGAAGTGCTTAAAGTGGATAAAACTATGGTGATATGTTGTGTACCCTAATAAAATTTGTCTGAAGGTCAGAGAACAGAACAAGCCACTGGATTAAACTTAGATGCCAGGCAGTGGTGCCACACACCTTTAATTCTAGTACTTGGGAATCACACGCCTTTAATCCCAGCACTTGAGATCTCATGCCTTTGCTTGGGAAGCACACATGCCTTTAATGGCTGGGTGGAGAAAGGTATATAAGGCATGAGAAGACAGGAACTAGAAGCCTTTTCAGCTGAAGAAGCTCTTTCGGCTGGGGCTCTTTCAGGCTGAGGAGTTAGTGAGGTAGGAGGTGGTGGCTGTGGCTTGCTCTGCTTCTCTGATCTTTCAGCTTTCACCCCAATATCTGGTACCAAGGTTTTTTTTATTAATAAGGCCTTTTAACATTCGTGTTACGTAAAACTAGCAAAATCAGGCTGGAGTAATGAATCAGGGTTAAATGTGCTTCCTGCTCTTGCAGAAGACCCCAGGTCAGTTCCAGTACCCACGTCCAGGCACTTGCAAGAGCCTGTAACTTGGGCTCCTGGGGATCTGACACACTTTCCTGGCCTCCAAGGGCACTAGAACATATGTGACATACAGACACATAGACACACACACATAAATAAAAACAGAAAAAATAATTCCAAAATAAAACCTAGTGAATCCACAGGCCTGAATCACATGGGCCTTCACCACCCTCCCCAGTACAGGCCATGGTGCTCTGGCCAGCCCTGCTGGAGCAGCGAGAGATGCTCACAGACAACCCGGGCAAGTGCTCTTACCAGCTCCTTGGGTCTCATGTTGAAGAGAATTCTTTCTGCATTCTCGCTGTCATGCCTGCTCTCCATAATGGCCAGCAAAAGCTTGGAGGCGTTGTTCTGGGGACAAGGAATTGGGTCAGTACACACGCAAAGTCCACGTCACACATGAACAATTCCCTGCATTTGTGTTGACTGAGATCACTGTTTTCTCAGTCAGGTGAAACTTGAAACTTATTTATTTTGTCTTACTAACAGAAAATAGAATACTTTATTCCATTGTTGATATAAAATAAAAGCAACGAGTCATGAAAGATGGGGGATATTTTACAAGAATTTTTTTTCCAAGACAGGGTTTTTCTGTATAGCCCTGGCTGTCCTAGAACTCACTCTGTAGACCAGGCTAGCCTCAAACTCACAGAGATCCTCCCGAGTACTGGGATTAAAGGTGTGCATCACCACTGCCCTTCCAATGGGGGATAGTTTAAAATTACAGGTGTTTTAATTGGAAAACTGACTAGACACTACATAAAATAGAAATATATTTTCTTCTAATGCTTTTTAAGTTGGATTTCTATGATTACATTAATAAGACAATCAGAGGAACAGGAATCAGTGACATTTTATGGATATGGCATACATATAATTTAAAGAATTTAGTATTGCCATTTTAAAAATGAAGTAATAATATTAGTAGCATATTGAAATTTTACATAGATTTGTGAATCATCAGTGGAAATTAATATATGAAGTTCTACATTCCTGAGTTAGAAATATAAAGGTGATATGCTGATAGCTCACTTACTTCACCACATGTTTATCAACATTTTCTACTATTCTCTTAATAAAGAATGAAAGCAGTGTATGTCACCAGATGTTCCAATTTTGTTTATAAACATACTACTTCAAATACTGTTACTTACGATATCAAAGTACAAAGCAATTTTCAATCCTAAATAGGTACCAGAGAGTCACCACCAAAGCCCTCTGTCCTTATATAGATGAAGCCTTCCTGACTCAGTACAGACTCCTGATGTGTGTGTGTGTGTGTGTGTGTGTGTGTGTGTGTGTGTGTGTGTGTGTGCGCGCGCGAGCGCACGCGCGCATGTGTGTGTGTGTGTGTGTGTGTGTGTGTGTGTGTGTGTGTGTATGTGTGTGTGTTGGGGGGAGCTTAAAGACATGTCTAAGAGACTCAGAGTCCACGAGTTTATAGAATGAAATAATTTTAAGCTGAATCACTGTTTGGTGTCAGTGGGCAAAGCAGTAATTGATAAGATTGTATAAATTAACTCTGGTTAGATTTGGGTCTGTGTTCTATCCACGCTCCCAGAACTGCCTAATGCTACCTTTCAAAGGACGTTTAATGATTCTGAATGTGACAAACGTGATGACAGGTCACGCCGATGCCACAGCCACCATGAAGGATTCCAGTGTAGGAATGGGATTCTATTTTTATATTCTGTTTGTATTTTACAAGTATTTTCACATCCTACAATCCACTTTTATAATCTAGGTTCCAAGCAATAGGTGTTAAAAATATGGTTTAGGGATTTGAGGAGATGATAATTCCTAGAGCCACATGAACAGACCCCACAGAATTCAGTGACACCTTGGCAGCATAGCGTGTGTTCTCAAAGGAGTCGCTCTCTCCAGGGCCAACAGAAAAGGGCTTTACAATGAAGCCCGTTTCTGAATGCCATTGGCAGTGTGGTACTTTTAACCAGTTTTCTTTCTCATACTTTGTGAGACTAGAAATAAATCTTGCAAATGACATCCTGAAGTCTGAAACAATTTGGAAGTACATGAGCCTGGATATACTGAAAAACCCAACACAAGTACTCCTGATAACAGGACTTTCCTTCCAGCGGAAGCTGGATTCTTCCTAAACAAAACACAAACGTCCCACCTCTTAACAAATGTGGCACTTTGCATTCACGGACCAATTACAAAAACAAAAATACAAAGCGAAGGATGAGATAGGCATCTGAGAAATTCATTAAGCCATACACAAAATGAGTATATAAAGCATATTTAAAATGTAGTTTGTATAATATTACATTTAAATTATATTATGTTCCATGGTATATGTTTACAGTGCTATATTATAATGAAGGTGTGTTACTAAAATTATGGATAATTAAGTCATCAATACAAGAGTCAATGTCACTAAATAGTTTATTATTTAAAGTGCCTCATCTCATGAGCTTTCCTAAACTTGCCAACACATGTCATTCTGCCTTACAGGTGCTCTCTTCTCAGGCAATAATATAGACAAAATATTTAGATTTCAAAAGTATACTCATTTCAGTCTTCGAGTGTAAAACCATATTTACAGTATTTCAAGAGAAACAAGCACATTTGTTGCTTTAGATGCACCCTGATGTATCTCACTGCCATATGTTTAAATAAATTGTGCTACTGAAATAAATAAAACTTAAATGGCCCATTTTAAAGCACTTTAATTTGAATACCTAGTATTTTGGCTCATTATATCATCATTATTCAATTTTTCCAACTAAGATCTGGATTTGTAAATAACCTGTATGCCTACACTGTTTCATTCAACAGCTCTCCCACAGAGTCATGCTATTGACAAGCCAGATTTTAAAATATAGTCTTTAGACAAATGAAGAGCTTCAGAGGCAAAGGCGGAGGCCTCTGGATGTTGTGTCTTCATGAATTACAGTTAAAGTTGAATTTAAGGGAGATGGCAAACTCTTCTCAGGGCCTCCAGTAGGGTGCCTGTCACACACACCAGGTGCTCACTAACTAAGCAAAGCCTGAGGAATAAAGCTAGGAAGGGCAGCCTCCACCATGAAAGTGGACCAGAGTGTGGGTGGGTGTGGGTGGAGATATTAGATTTTACACACACAGTATGGAGAAAATCAGTAAAAACACAAATAGAGCCCAGAACACTATTCACAGTAGTGGATTTGTATATAACCCACTGTATACAAACAGCATTTTGGATTCTCCTTGGCCACTCACTTACCTGCACAAAGTTCAACCTAATTTTCTATAAAGTTGGATAGACCTGGCTTTACCAAAAAAAAAAAAAAAAAAAGTGTATGTTGAACTATGGGATGAGTTTTGTTTGGATGTGCTATGCATGTGTACCTGTGAATGTGGAGGCCAGAGGACAACCTCAGTTGTCTCTCAGGTATACCATCTGCCTTACTTTGTAATATAGGGTGCCTCAATGGCCTACAGTTCACTGGTTAGGGTGTTACGTTGGCTGGCCAGAGATTCCCAAGATGGTCCTCTTCAGCACTAGAATTAGAAGGGCATATCACCACACTGGGCTTTTTCAGATGGTTTCTAGGGACCAAACTTGAGTGCTGTATTTACTAAACTATTTCCTTAGTAGGGTTTGTTTTTAGCCATTGTAAACACTTAACACAACAATGTGACCTTAGTAGGGTTTGTTTTTAGACATTGTAAACACTTAACACAACAATGTGACCTAACTGGAATATAATTTCTTAGCACATAAGATTTATGTAGGTTGTTGTGTTTTTTATTTATCTATTTTTGTTTGAACAAAAATATTTGAATACCCTTATGCTCCTAAGTTTTAATAGGTAGAATTTTCTGGTAGTGTATACCAGACTCAAGATAAACACTATGATTAGGAGGTGGCTAGATTCTAATGTAACACTGTAAGAAGGAAGAAAGACATTAAACTAAAATGCAACATTCCTTTATGCTCTCTATTTTATTTTATTTATTTATTTTTTATTTTTTGGTTTTTCAAGACAGGGATTCTCTCTGTAGCCTTGTGCCTTTCCTGGAACTCACTCTGTAGACCAGGCTGACCTTGAACTCACAGAGATCCACCTGCCTCTGCCTCCTGAGTGCTGGGATTAAAGGTGTGCACCACCACCACCACCACCCGACCCTTTATGCTCTCTAATTGTCACCACTAGATGGAATTCTCAAGCCAGGGCAGATTAAAAACCCATGACACAGTGGGTATCCAACACCTTCCACTTCTGTCTACAATGGAAAACAGGAAATCAAAACAGAGGAGAAGAGATAAGGGGCTGTTTCAACATCTCTAACACAGAACCTCACAATGACGGTGGCCTGTGGGCAAATCACGCTCTCCCTGGCATGGTGAGTGCCTAGTGAGCTCGGTTTTCTCTCTTGTCAGTTCCTGAGTTGAGAAGGTGATGGTGTTTTATACAGTCACTTGAAGACTTAGAATTTACTCTGAATGGGAAGTGCACATGGAAAGTGCCAGGGTCACACTACCTTCAGCTGCAGCACCAAGTCCATTCTGTATTTGCCAAGAGGGTTGATGTCATTCAGAATCAAGGCAATGATGATGTCGATCCCATTAGATTCATGAGTGGCGATACAGGTCTAGAAAAGGAGACATCTGTAAAATGACTAGAACAGAAGACTTGAAACTTTAAAATACCGGGTAGAGACAATGTTGAACATTTTAATTAGTTTTTTGGGGTGGGGATCTATTAATCGACTGGTACTGATAAATGCCTCTGGGCATAGAATACTAACACATTGTGAAAAATACCTGTCTTTGACACAAAGAACTACAGAATTTCAAAGACAACTGGGTAAGTTAAAACCCTTCCAGTCACCAATACAAAAGGAGATCCTTGAACTGTAAATTTTAAGATACAGTAAGTCTAGAAGAACAAGAAAAAGGGACATTGTATGTGAATTTCACAAAACTCAGAGCAAATGCGACTGTGTGTCCTGGGTCGTTGGAAAGTTCACAGGATTCTTGAACTTGAGTGTTTGTGGAGGGATGAAATTGAGTAAAATACAAAAACACCTGTGCTGTGGGATGTTCTGTATGGCAAATGTGTTGCTGATTAGTCAATAAATAAAACACTGATTGGCCATTGGCTAGGCGGGAAGTGTAGGCGGGACAAGGAGGAGAATAAAGCTGGGAAGTGGAAGGCTGAGTCAGAGAGACACTGCCAGCCACCACAATGAGAAACAGCATGTGAAGATGCCAGTAAGCCACAAGCCATGTGGCAAGGTACAGATTAATGGAAATGGATTAATTTAAGCTGTAAGAACAGTGAGCAAGAAGCCTGCCACAGCCATACAGTTTGTAAGCAATATAAGTCTCTGTGTTTTCTTGGTCGGGTCTGAGCAGCTATGGGACTGGCAGGTGAGAGAGATTTGTCCTGACTGTGGACCAGGCAGGAAAACTCTAGCTACAAATGGCATCCAACGTGGTGGCAAGAGTTTCCACCTAAAAACTGAGAAAAAAGATTCTAAAACGGAGCTAAAAACAGTTTCTAATTGTCTCTCTCAAATGAGCGGCAGCTGCTGGTTTGAGCTACTGGTGGGTTCCTTGCGTGCACGCTCGACCTGCCATATGGCGGGAGTGGGGCCTTTGCAAGTGGCACTTTGAGCTGCATGGTGGATTTAGCCTTTGCTGGTGCAGAGCAAAAGGAGAAGTTTCTGGACTACACGCTGCTTGGATAAAAGCATAGACCCACGATAGCTCCCAGAGCTGGTGGTAAACGTAGCCATGTTGGGAAGCTGAGGTGGGTGGAGCCAGCAGCCACAGCTGCTGCAGTTTAAAGCAACAGATTCACAATAAGACAGATTCAAATATAATAGTTTACAATGTGTGTAAAATATACGTAGGCTTGAAAGAGACAAAAAAGGTGATATATACAGTTATAGAAACAAATACATAGTTTCAAAAAATAAAGGCTTTAAAGAGACAGTAAAATTAATATAAAAAATAAGCCACGTGAAGATGAATATTACACAGAGAATCTGGATTGTGTTGTCTTTGGGATTTTTAACTGCAGAAAAACATTTGATTGTAAAAGCTGTTGAGTTATGCCAAAATGTATATTTTAAAGATATCTTGACTTCAAAATTTGGATATAAAGATATGTTGCTTTGGAAAGGAGACTCTGCTTTTGTTTCAACAGAAAGCCAAAGGCTATGGATTTGTTCCAGATTAAGATACATCAGGTTTGACCAGCCAAGACCCCCTGAAAGGTCTCCGATGACACCATGGCCCAGATGATCCAACATCCAGAATGGTTTGAAGGCTCAGACGATACAGCCTCATGGGCTATTCCATAATCCTAAAATTTTCTTTGTTTCCCCATAAGATACAGCGCTCCCCTCCAGCAGGATGTAGTAAGAGAAGCTACGCCCAAATTCCCAAATTATATGTAATTTTACTTTGTTAAGGTTAAAACCTTCCTTTTTGGAAAAAAAAAGGGGGAAGTGCTGTGGGATGTTCTGTATGGCAAATGTGTTGCTGATTAGTCAATAAATAAAACACTGATTGGCCATTGGCTAGGCGGGAAGTGTAGGCGGGACAAGGAGGAGAATAAAGCTGGGAAGTGGAAGGCTGAATCAGAGAGACACTGCCAGCCACCACAATGAGAAACAGCATGTGAAGATGCCGGTAAGCCACGAGCCACATGGCAAGGTACAGATTAATGGAAATGGATTAATTTAAGCTGTAAGAACAGTTAGCAAGAAGCCTGCCACAGCCATACAGTTTGTAAGCAATATAAGTCTCTGTGTTTTCTTGGTCGGGTCTGAGCAGCTATGGGACTGGCAGGTGAGAGAGATTTGTCCTGACTGTGGACCAGGCAGGAAAACTCTAGCTACACACCTGAGAGAGCAATGTGCATGCTCTGAGGGTGAAGGTCTACTGTGTGAGGATTTCAAGCTCCATTTTATAGAAGCAGCATGAGGAGTACTAAGCCATGAGGACTACTAAGCCATGAGGACTACTAAGCCATGAGAACTACTAAGCCATGAGGACTACTAACTAAGCCACAGGAGTGACTTGAAAAACTGACACCCTGGTGAGTCACACAAGAAAGGACAGACCCAGCCAACAAGATGCTTGGCCTGGGCCTCCTGTCTCACACAAGGACATTTGTGCAGAGGAAAGGTATTCCTGTCCAACACTGACATTATATCCTGAGACTTCTGCTCATGATAATATCTGCCAAACGGACCTTCCATGCATTTTCAGAGCCTGGGGAACTATCTGGGTAGGGCATGTTATTTTATTATGAGTTTTTATTTGGAGAACTTACTTGGCTTCAGTAAAGTACTTTCAAAACCCAATTGCATTCTATTACCACAAAGTAGGGAATATTCTGACAGCCTTTTCACAAAACGGAAGAGTAGTGAGAGAGATATATATCATATACATATTTTCTACCACAGAGAGACTTTTATCAGCAAGGTCAAACTCTGAATGTGTGTATTTTGCATTGATTTTAAATCAGCAGTCAAGGATGTCTTTATCATTGTTGTAGGAACCTAACATCTAATCTTGAAAATACAGGGAAAACATCTACAGACTCTTTTAGTGTCATAAACACATTACAGAGAAGGAAGTGATACCCTCATATGATCAACATATTTCCATCATATGAACCCACATCACATGAAGAATGTATATCATGTTTGTGTTCAAACGTGTATGTGCACACAGACAAAGCATGTGTGAGGACGGTCACAGAATCTGCAATGGGAAAGCCGACCTTTTTCACATTTCCTTTGTACACCAACCACTGATGCTTAGTGTCAATCACATCTTTAAAGTTTATGTCCAGAAAAGATTGACATGGAGACCCCACCCCCGAACCCTGCCTATGCTGGCAGCTCCAAGATGCTTCGTAGATGCTAAACAATTGTCAAATTGTCAGATGACGTCATCCCCTTCACTTCCTTACATGTTCCATCTTCTCCCAAAACATCCTTAGAGCACAGCAAAGGTATTCTGGGAGACAGACATGAATGTTGGGTCTCTCACACATGCGTGTGTGTGCACCAACATAAAAAGGCTGACAAAGTCATCCGTTTTTCTGCAGCTCACTGATGGCAGCACACATAGACACTAAGAGGTCAGGTGACCTCTGAGTCGGAAGCCACTTACCAGTAAAAGGACAACAGCAAGACCCACTTCATAAGCACACTGAGTGTGTAACATGGGTGTTAGACAAGCACACTGAGTGTGTAACTCGGGTATTAGACTAGCTCACTGAGTGTGTAACATGGGTATCAGACTAGCTCACTGAGTGTATAACTCGGGTATTAGACTAGCTCACTGAGTGTGTAACACAGGTATTAGACTAGCTCACTGAGTGTGTAACACAGGTATTAGACTAGCTCACTGAGTGTGTAACTCGCGTATTAGACTAGCTCACTGAGTGTGTAACTTGGGTATTAGGCTAGCACACAAAGTGTGTAACTCAGGTATTAGACTCCCCCTACACTGCAACAGAGCCAAAACCACAGTGAGTTAACCCCACACATCTGGAGAGACCCCCCCAGAGAAAAACTGAACATTGGGAAGAAGTGTAATCTTGCCCTCCTTTCAGTAACTCGTTTATCTTAAATATCTTCATGGGAATCTTCTTTGACAATGAAATTTAAAATGTGACCTAGCATTTGCTAGTCTACAAGTCCACCTTTGTGTGTTCTGTGAGAAAAGCAGCAATGCCTGGCAGGGTGAGCAGAAAGGCTTCACAGGTACACGAGGCTGGCTCTACGCCTGGCCTGGCACCCTGCTCCTGAGTCGGGAATCCTGTAACATGACGCTCTGCTGTCATGGTTACCTGGTTTTCATGGCACGGGCCCTGGCAGTACTCGGTCAAGCTCTCCAGGGTTTGGTTGACCAAAGCTACGTTCTTCTCATTGATGTAGAGCCCCAGTAGGCCCAGGCCGCCCGTGGTGCTCCCACAGATGCAGTCCAGGAACTGGAGCGTCTCGCACACCAGGTTGTGGTTAGTCTTATTGTTCTGATTCCTCAGGAAGTTCTGGAAGTGTGAAAGAAAGCACAGCTGAAGGACTGAGAGCAGAACACAGGGGAAAGGTGCCAGCCAGCGATGTTCAGCGCTGTGTGTGAGTGTGTGTGTGTGTGTGTATGTGTGAGTGTGTGTGTGTGTGTGTGTGTGTGTGTGTGTGTGTGTGTGTTCCTCAATCAGATTCCCTGCCACTATGGAATTCAACTGGTCTTCACAAGAAAGTGAGACAACTTGGGGGAGGGAGGGGCCAACAAAAGAGGGGGGATAAGGGAACATAATTGGGTGTGACTACATCTAAACATGATATGGATGAGAATGTCATAACAAAACTCATTATTTTTTGAAGGTTGTGGGGAGAGGCTGGGAGAAGAGGAAGGAGGGGAAACTACAGTTGGGATGTAAAATAAATAAATAAAAATTTAAAAAACAAACTCATTATTTTTCAAGCTAATTTTAAAATTAAATAATATTTAAATATTGATGGACTAGGTTTCTCTTAAAAGAAGCCCCTCGGGTTCTAGCAAAAACACCTTCAGAACAGGTCATAGTAAACACTGCTCCGTTGTTATCATTTTAAACCTACAGAGGGTGGAAATAGTTGTGAAAGGGAGAAAGGAAAAGGCAAATAAAATGTTCAGGGGAGGGGTCCAACTTCCAAGTGAGCCATCCTGGGCGACCCTGCATCCTCTCTGTGCAGCAGCCACAGATCATGGCGTGGGGAACACGGAGGCCTACCAAGCTTTTCCGTCCCACGTCTATGGATGATCCTAAATCTGTGCACATACACACAGGAGAGATTCGCTGCCTGTTAGCACAGAAAGTGTCATAGCAAAAGCCAGAGCATTATCCCTGCCAGCGGGATGGGTTTGGGGTCTTAGGAAAAACCTCCATATGCACAGATAAGCATCACCAAGCAACAAGTAATGTAGCAATACATGAAGTTACTAAATCTAACAGTCGAGACTCTATATAATGTGTACTCTCTTGGACAGAAGGTTTACATGCATAGATTAATATTTGTACACAGAATTTTCTAGAAGAAAACAATCTGTTATTAGTGCACTTCCTCTGGGGAATAAGCTAAGGAGAGAAGAAGAAGAGAGAAAAGGAGAGAGGGAGAAAGAGATTTCCTATTTTAATATAAAGTCAGACATTACATCACCTGCTCTGCTCTGTGACCTACTCTACCAGGGTATATGAGTTAGAGCCAGCAAGCGGAACCCAGCAGTCTATGTCCACACTGTCAGGGTACATGGATTAGAATGAACAGGCAGCACACCCTACAGTCTATGTTCACACTATCGGGTGAAGCACAGTCCTAATTAGTCTTATTAATAAAAACCTGGAGTCAGATATTGGGGTAAAGCTAAAAGATCAGAGAAGCAGAGCAGCAGCCACTAGAGACTTCTATGAATCCTCAGATTGAATGGGCTGAGATCCTGTCTCCACCAGACTTATATTCCTGTCTCCATCTCCCAGTTGTACTGTGATTAAAGGCATAAGCCTCCCAAGTGCTAGGATCAAAGGCATGAGCCTCCCAAGTGCTGGGATAAAAGGCATGAGCCTCCCAAGTGCTAGGATCAAAGGCATGAGCCTCCCAAGTCCTGGGATTAAAGGTGTGAGCCACCACTGCCTGGCCTCTATGGTTAACTCGTGGCTAGCTCCACCCTCTGATTTCCAGGCAAGCTTATTTGTCAGAACATAAACAAAATATCATATAATTGGGCCAGGTGGTGGTGACGCATGCCTTTAATCCCAGCACTCGGGAGACAGAGGCAGGCAGATCTCTGTGAGTTCTGAGGCCAGCCTGGGCTATACAATGAGTTCCAGGAAGGGCGCAAAGCTACACAGAGAAACCCTGTCTGGAAAAACAAAACAAACAAATATATATATATATATATATATATATATATACACACACACACACACACACATACATACATACACATATATACGTATATATACGTATATATATGTATGTATATATACGTATATATACGTATATATGTGTATATATGTGTGTATGTATATATATATATATATATCATATAATTGGGTGTGTGGGTTAGAGTGAGCAGGTGTCAGCACACACTGCAGAAGCTTGACCTAAGCTGCGGCAAGCTGGTCGACATGAGCCATGCTCCCCCATCATTCATTCCAGAGCATCTCATAGCCATGGACAGTATTTTATCTGTCCTACCATCTCCTGCCTTTCACATCCCTTGTGTTTTAGACGACAGTGAGCACAGCTCCTCACTCTGCCACCGTCTGTGTGGACAGACGTCCTTAGAACCAGATGACTTAGTGGAAATACAAGGCAGGAGATCCTAGGCAGGACCTACTGCAGACCCTCAGCCAGTTCACTGTAGCTCATTAATAAAGTCCTTTGTGAGCTCTGCTAGCCAGCATGGCTAAGCAGGCTGGCACGACGGGCGTGTCTGTCTTAGAAGCAGTCTGCCGACTGGAAACTCTTCAGGTGAGCATTCACTCTCTCCCTCAGTCAGGCCGATCAAGATAGCCCCCTGCAAGTGCCTTTGCTATGGTGGCATGGGCAACATATACAAATAATGTCGGAGAGATAGAGTTTTGAGGCAGCCCTAGTCCACCCATCTGACAGAGGAAATGTTAGTGGTGGAGATATTATGATGTGGGCTACATTAATTTGCAAAACAATTTTCACTACTATAAAAATGCTTTATATTATTTTGTTTCTAATGAAACATAAAATATGTTCAATATTGGGCTAAACAACTATGGATTGGGAAAGATGTAAACACCTGAGTCTAAAACCATGAAAGGCAGATGAGATGAAGATGATCTTCCTGAACAAACACCACAGAGAAGAGTAGACAGGGTTCAGTGGTGCGAAGATGTGAGTTCTAGACCACAGGATGGCAATGTGTGGATTTGTTTGTTTTGTTTTTAATGGATAAACATTTTTCCTCTTGTTTTTCTTCCTTCCCATTTCAACAAGGCATTGCTGCCTTTGTTGACCATTTCTCCAGAATTCCCTCCTAACCTGCACATTAGTTTCACTTGGATTACCACAGCCGCAGGCTACAGAGCAACAGGGAGCAGAGGACACACAGGCTACAGAGCAACAGGGAGCAGAGGACACACAGGCTACAGAGCAACAGGGAGCGGAGGACACACAGGCTACAGAGCAACAGGGAGCGGAGGACACACAGGCTACAGAGCAACAGGGAGCGGAGGACACACAGGCTACAGAGCAACAGGGAGCGGAGGACACACAGGCTACAGAGCAACAGGGAGCGGAGGACACACAGGCTACAGAGCAACAGGGAGCGGAGGACACACAGGCTACAGAGCAACAGGAGCGGAGGACACACAGGCTACAGAGCAACAGGAGCGGAGGACACACAGGCTACAGAGCAACAGGAGCGGAGGACACACAGGCTACAGAGCAACAGGAGCGGAGGACACACAGGCTACAGAGCAACAGGAGCGGAGGACACACCTGCAGCTCCCGGTTGTGATTCTCACACAGCAACTGCAGGAACCTGAGGATGGGCCGCATGATGGTGATGGCGGGGCTCATGGTAACCTCCTCTGCGGACTTTTCCTCCGCACTTCCTGCTTCCGGTCCGGGGCACATCGTGTCTATTTCCGGGTCCATTTCTCTTCTGTACACACAGTATGCTTTGGACGTGGCTGAAGAAGCCTCTGTTAGCTGCCCTTTCATTCCCTCTTTCAGATGAAGTGATGAATCTCTCACTGAAAAGCAAGCAGTAGTTGCATTTCTGAAGTAATTTTTTTTAACTAAAGGAAAATAAAAACCCCACCATAGGGATCCAAATTTTCCCACAGCTGAATTTTAAAATTACCTAACAAGAGGCCCAATAATTTCCTGAAAGGGACTTGATTAACAACCAAAAAGTTAACACAGTGATCAGAAGAGAAGGTCTTAATACTTAGCCAATTTCAGAATTTTTTGATATATAAACGTATATGGCAAAAACACACAAGAATGTGCACAAGCATGTACAAATGACTTTACAAGTATATATTGAAGGGCCGGAGAGGTGCTGCCTTATTGCTTTTCTATTCCTGTGGTAAAACACTATGAACAAAAGCAACTTGGGGAGGAAAGGGTTTATTTCCCATTGTGATAGATATATCACAAGATGATAGATAGATAGATAGATAGATAGATAGATAGATAGATAGATAGATAGATAGATAGATAGATAGAGACAGATCATGATCTATCACTAAAGGGAATTAGGGCAGGAACCTGGAGGCAGGAACTGAAGCAGAGGCCATGGAGGAGTGCTGCTCACTGGCTTGCTCCTCATGACTTGCTCAGCCTGCTTTCTTATTGACCCACCTGCCCAGGAGAGGCACTATACACTGTGGGCTGGGCCCTCCCACACCAATCATTAATCAAGAAAATGCCTCATAGACATGCCTATAGGTCATTCTTATGGAGGCATTTTCTCAACTAAGATTCCCTCTTCCCAATTATGTCTAGCTATGTGTTAAGTTCACAAAAAACAACCAGGACAGATAGCTTAGCAGTTAAGAACCCTTGCTGCTCCACCAGAGGACTGAGTCAGTTCCCAGCACCCACAAAGGCTGCTCATAGCCTCCTATAGCTTCAGCTTTGGATCTGACACTCTCTTCTGGTCTCTGTGGACACCCACACACGTGACACACACAGAAAGAACAAGAATGTGTCAAGAAACACATGTGTGTGCACACACCTAAGAATTTCTATAGATCTCATAGAAAAAAAATGATAACATCTCCACAGTTTGTATTTAACTGGCAATAACTTGGTTATTCAAACACAAACACTTTTATAAATTCTGTCCTCACAAAGTTTGGGCTGGTTTTCTTTGCTGCACAGAACAAGGACATCAAAGTCTTTCATGTTACCCAGTGTCTCCACATCAATTAAACTCCATTTAATTTGGCCCGCAGAGTTATTCCAGGGTCAAGCCCTTGACCAAAATCCTCCATAGATGGAAGTCCACACTGGAAACACCGGGAATAATTAAACCCCCAAAGCTACATGAGATTTAAATACTTCGTTACGTTCTTCTTGCATGCCGCTCTCCCAGGTACTCAGGAAGCTCCTCACCTCTCATCCTTGGGCCCGAGGTCATGAGGTCATTGTCATCGTCCCTCTTTTTGCTCCCTAAGTCTATGGTGTTGACAGTCACTGTGGATCTGATCTCTTTCTGAGCAGCCTTCATCCGGTCATAAAGGACTTTGAAGAATTTTTCTGACTTTTTCTGTTCATGTAATTGATGGTAAAAAGAATACTGCAGAGAAAGCATAGTTTAAAATATCAACCACCAAGGCAAGAAAAACAGTGCTTTGTCCTGAAATAAACACAGGCCTTACAGATAAAAGCACAGTGTGCTGCCTTTTATTATTCCACAAATGGACAGGCTTTCAGTGTATCATTCCACTTACTATGTACTAATAACACATTATTATATTAATAATAACAGCTAGTATTTACCTAGCATCTTCCACTTAATTCTAATATATTTTATATTCTATTTGATATATCCTCCTGCATGTGTTTTTTTAATTATGAGTATAGTAAGTTGTCATAAGTAAATAATTCTTTTAGTCTAATATTGCTATAAATCTGTGCATTGATTCAACACACATTTATTGAAAGCCTACTATGCATAGGGTCTTATATTGTTGCTACAGACAAAACAAAAAGAGAAAATTGCCAGACTCCTACCCACATGAGTTTGTCACCCAAAGTGAAACATGGTCACTCACTTATGACTATCCTGTATAAATAAGGGCTCCCTGTTAGGTGACAAAGTTATTTTTCTTGTAACTAACTGATAGAACATTAAAATTAGGATGTGTTACCATGACAACCCCACTCGTGGGAACCTTCTGGTAAATAGGTATTAAGTTGTTTTGCTACTTCATAAATAATGATTCTTTACATATAGTTCAGGGGGAAATTGACTGAAAATAAACTGTAGTTTATCATCAATAATGATGCAGAAAGGATGTGGTAAGATGTGCCTTAGTGAGATGGGGAAATGCTGAGTGCCAAAGTGAGAAGTGAGAGACAGTGAGATGCGTCTTAGTGAGACAGTGAGATGCGTCTTAGTGAGACAGTGAGATGCGTCTTAGTGAGACAGTGAGATGAGTCTTAGTGAGACAGTGAGATGCGTCTTAGTGAGACAGTGAGATGCGTCTTAGTGAGACAGTGAGATGTGTCTTAGTGAGACAGTGAGATGCGTCTTAGTGAGACAGTGAGATGTGTCTTAGTGAGACAGTGAGATGTGTCTTAGTGAGACAGTGAGATGCATCTTAGTGAGACAGTGAGATGTGTCTTAGTGAGACAGTGAGATGTACCTTAGTGAGACAGTGAGATGTACCTTAGTGAGACAGTAAGATGCATCTTAGTGAGACAGTGAGATGCATCTTAGTGAGACAGTGAGATGTGTCTTAGTGAGACAGTGAGATGTACCTTAGTGAGACAGTGAGATGTACCTTAGTGAGACAGTGAGATGTACCTTAGTGAGACAGTGAGATGCATCTTAGTGAGACAGTGAGATGCATCTTAGTGAGACAGTGAGATGCGAGATGCATCTTAGTGAGACAGTGAGATGTGTCTTAGTGAGACAGTGAGATGTGTCTTAGTGAGACAGTGAGATGCGTCTTAGTGAGACAGTGAGATGCATCTTAGTGAGACAGTGAGATGTACCTTAGTGAGACAGTGAGATGCGTCTTAGTGAGACAGTGAGATGCACCTTAGTGAGACAGTGAGATGTGTCTTAGTGAGATAGTGAGATGTGTCTTAGTGAGACAGTGAGATGTGTCTTAGTGAGACAGTGAGATGCGTCTTAGTGAGACAGTGAGATGCATCTTAGTGAGACAGTGAGATGCATCTTAGTGAGACAGTGAGATGCATCTTAGTGAGACAGTGAGATGCACCTTAGTGAGACAGTGAGATGTACCTTAGTGAGACAGTGAGATGCGTCTTAGTGAGACAGTGAGATGCGTCTTAGTGAGACAGTGAGATGCATCTTAGTGAGACAGTGAGATGCGTCTTAGTGAGATAGTGAGATGTGTCTTAGTGAGACAGGGCAATACTGACTTGTGGTTACCAGTTACTGTCTGCTTAGCAACTTTATGCAAGAATTCAGAAGTGAAAGGAGATGGAGGAAGGATGTACTCCAGAAGAGATGTACCTGATCAAGTGGAACCAGCCACATCCCCAAATAAAATCTGAGCAGGCAGGTTGGGGTTTGTGACAGCTGCTGACATGTTTTCCTAAAGGAATGCCTGGAGCAGGCCCGACTCCAGGCGACACTCATGCCTGTGTTCGTTTCTTACATGGGCAGCATCTACACACAGTGAGCTTTACATAGCCTTTAGTGTCAGCTACGTGTCTGTTAGGAGACGCTCCTGAACAGAGGGCTAGCAACCTCTTTTCAGGAGCAGGACAAAACAACCACCGTAACCATGGCAACTACACTGAACCAGCCCAACTGGTCCTGATGGCTTGCAGGATAAATGCAGCATCCACAGACCTTTATGGTCCCACAAATTAAGCGGATGTTTGAGCTCTAATCTTTTTAATATAGCATGGCTGGAAGGTGAAAGGGTGACTGTAACACACGAGAAAGCTGCAGTCATGTCCCAGCTCTGTGAATTCAAAGCTTGGCAGTAAGGGGTCCATTCACACCCACTCTCCCAGATACGTTCAACCCTTGTGATGAGTATGGTTTTCTCATTCCATGCACATGGTATTGATTGAAAAATGAGATGTTGTGAGGCAGAGGGATTTACCACATATTATATAACCCATATGCTGTAGCACTAAATGTAGATTATTTATATAAATGATACTTTCTACAAACCAGTGCTCTACAGAATGGTGTTGGGTAGGTGATGACCAAATTATGTTCCATAGGTTAATCAGATGGCACAGCATCTACCCAAAGATACCACATTATGGACAACAAGGAGTGTCAAAGGAAATGCTCAAGGCTCTTTGTTGGACAAAAAGCAAAGGACAAATAGTGTTACAGGGGGAAAATCTGCCCTATGGAGGAGAAGAAAATCAGAGGAATGGAGAGAGGAGGGGAAGTAATGGAGTGAAGCCTAGTGCTTTAACTTCCTTTCCAGTTTCACACACAGTTCTAGGTTAAAGTCGATCACAGGAAGTCGCAGAAGCAGGAGCTTCAGGAAATTGGACACAGCACATCCATAATCAGTAATGAATGCAAGTACGCTTGTGCTCTGTCTACCTTCTCTATTCTTACATGGTTCAGGACCCCTGCCTAGGGAATGGTGTCACCCACAGTGTGCAGGTCCTCCCACTGAACCAGCACAATCAAGACAATGCCCCCACAGGCATATCTACAAGCCAACCTCATCTAGATCAATCCTCACTGAGACTCTCTTCCCAGGTGATTCTGGATTATGTCAAGTTGACATAATCTCAGCTATCCCACTGAGAAAGACAAAGGCTCACATGGTGGTCAGTCCCTGTCACTTCCGGGCGCTATGAATATAGAAGGTTATCTCTGGGAAGGAGATATTCATTGTGACTAGAGGGTACAGAATCTGGAGCCAGGCAGCATAAACTCAAGTCCCAGCTCTGTCTTTATATAATCAAGGGAGTTTAGATCTGCCTGCTTCTTCTTTGGTAATCTAGGATAATATATATTATATCACAGGCTGTGGGGATTAGCCAAATTTATGTATGTAAGAATGGTCCCTAATACTCAATAGCCTATATGTTATATTTTATTTCTTTTTCTTTTTGAGACAGGGTCTTACTCAATGGCCCAGGTCAGCCTCAAGTGATCTCTCTGGCTTATCCTCCAGAATCCTGGGATTATAAGTGTGACCCACAATACCTAGCTTTTATTTCTCTCATTATTAGTGTTTGAAGTTATAATTCCTTCTATCTGCCTCCACTAATCCACGTCTGGTAAGGCATATTGGGTGCAGAAAGTGACTCATGTAGTAAGGAAGAGATTCACTCTGGTCAGAATAACCAGAGCAGGGCAGCTCAGACAACCCATGAACTAAATCCTGGGACTAACGGGAAACTAAGGATATTAAACTCAGGGCTGGAGAAATGGCTCAGTAGTTAGGAGCACTCGGTGCTCTTATAGAGGACCTAAGCTCAGGTCTCAGCCCCACATGAAGGCTTACACCCTCTATAACTCTAGCTTCATGGGATCCAAGTTCCTCTTCTGGCCTCCACAGGCACTGCACGTATGTAGTACACTTATATACATTCAGGCACTCAACATACACACAAAAAAAGTAAATCTTTTTAAAAATGTAAAGTTCCTATGAGATTAGCAGGAGTCTAGGGGTGAGTTGTGTGAATGGGACATGTCCCCATAAGCTTGTGCATTGGCATGCTTGGTCCCCAGCCAGTGGCACCGTTTGTACAGTTATGGAACTCTCAGAATCTGAAGCCTTGCTAGAGAAAGTATGTCATGAGGTCGGGGACTTTGAGAGTCCGTAGCCCCATCACACTCCCAGTTTGCTCTCTCTGTTTCCTTTGTGTGGATGGAGATGCGCTCGCTCAGCTTCCCGCTCCAGCCACCTGCTGCTGTGCCTCTCCAGCTATCAAGAACTCTCCCTCAGGAGCCATAAGCAAAACATCTCTGGCTTCCATGGGCTGCTTTGGTCGTGGTGTTTCATCGCAGTGGTAAACAGCAACCAACACGGGGGGGGGGGGGGGGGGGGGGGGGGGGGGGGGGGGGAATACAGACTCAGCTCTGCTGATCTAGACCTCTTAAAGCCACAGCACACAGCTGACAACTGGGGCATCATGACGTACCTAAATCAGAAACCTAAACAGCAGAACCCAGAAAGTGAGGTTTTTAACCACAAGAGGATTTTTATGCACAGATTTGTATAAATGCTGTTTCTTTAACAGATAAGTGTGACTCTGGTTTTCTTCTTTTTTCTGCATGAGAGATTGAACCAACGGCCTCAGAAATGCCGCACACATGCTTACTACTGAGCTACACCCCTGCTGTCCTTTTACTTTTAAATTTGTGACCTGCTTTCATTAAGTTCGCTAGACCAGCCTTGAGCTTGCTCCATAGCTCAGTTGTCCTTGAACTTGTGGTCCTCCAACCTCAGCCGCCTGAGGAGCTGGGATTACAGGTTTGTATCACCAGCCAGAGAGAGAGAGGAGAGAGAGAGAGAGGGGAGTGGTGTGTGTGATATGTGTGTGTGTGTGTGTGTGTGTGTGTGTGTGTGTGTATGTGTGTGTGTGGTGTGTAGTGTGTGTGATGTGTGTGGTGTGTGTGTGGTATGGTGTGTGTGTAGTGTGTAGTGTAGTGTGTGTGATGTGTGTGGTGTGGGGTGTGTATATGGTGTGGTATGTCGGGTGTGTGTGTGTGTGTGTGTGTGGTATGTGGTGTGTACTGTGTGTGATGTGTGTGTGTGGTGTGGGGTGTGTGGTGTGGGGTGTGTGGTGTGGTGTGTGTGTAGTGTGTAGTGTGTGTGATGTGTGGTGTGTGTGTATGTGTGTGTGGTATGTGGTGTGCACTGTGTGTGGTGTGTGTGTGGTGTGGTGTGTGTGCAGTGTGTAGTGTGTAGTGTGTGTGATGTGTGTGGTGTGTGTATGGTGTGGTGTGTGGGGTGTGTGTGTGATGTGTGTGTGTAGTATGTAGTGTGTGTGATGTGTGTGTAGTATGTAGTGTGTGTGATGCGTGTGTGTGTGTGTGTGTGTGTGTGTGTGGTATGTGGTGTGTACTATGTGTGATGTGTGTGTGGTGTGGGGGGTGGTATGCACTGAACGGCTATAAAGGAATATGAAAATAAAAAAATAGGCTATCACCCCCGACTCACATTAGAAAATGTCGAAAGCTAACTGGAGAGACAAGATATAAAACAGATAGTAAAATAAAGGGACACCGAGAAGACACCAAGCGAAAGACAGTTGCAGTGAGGCTCACCAGGAAGCAGGTACCACATGCCCAGCTGGAAGAGAAGGAAAGACCCATCGCTCATAAACATACCCACCCCTGATAGTTACTGGGCATTAGAGGGTTCCAAACCCAAACAGCACAGCAATGAAGATGTGTTCCAAACCTTCAGGGATGTTTACTTTACTAGATGGAATCTGGGGCACACCTGGAGAGGCACCATGACATGATAGAAACACTCCCCAGAGCACCTGGAAGTCACAGCAAGGTCCTGCAGCAACTAGCAGTCGGTTCTGCCCAATGGGACAAGGGGCCGAAAACAATTCTAAGAAGAGCCATTGAGCTGAGCCCTGGGAGAGAAGACAGTAGCAGGAGAAGTGACATGATGTACCTGGGGGGCTACAAAGAGAAACAGCAAGGAGGAGACAGACGGAATCAGAGATGCTGGAGCACATGAAGGACCTGCAGCAGGAAGGGTTCGTGAGCTCGGCAGGGAGTCTGACTTCACTGGGAAGAGAGATCTGAACCGGGTCTAACTGTTATAACAAATGTCACTGGAGGCGACAGAGGGAATGTTAGAGGGAAGGCCAAATGGAAGCTGGGAAACAGGGTCACAGCAGAGTGAAGATAAGGAGCTGCGATGAAGGTCGGAGAAGCGGGGATTGAAGTGTTAGGGGAGATATTCGAAGGGCAGAATCACCCAGGCTTGTCATCAAGGGGTGACCAGCAAGGAGACAGGATGGTCAGCCACGGTCAAAAGGCACGGCGCCAGTCTCGGGGAGAAGAGGAGCCCTCACATGAGGCTGGAAGAGAAGCTGGGGGTGGCGGAGTTCCAGGATCCAGGTAGTAAAGGCTCCAGAAGAACAAAAAACCTTCCCAGTGATCAATGCCACAGAAACGTGAGGCAAATAAAGACTAAAGGTTAGATCTAGGGAGCGATGTGCTGGCACTTAAAAGTGGAGCCTGCAGCTCTCCTGGAGCTGGCTGGCATGGTCAGCATCCACATGAGGATGAAGGGTGATCCCCTGGGATGACCTCTATGGTCCAGGGAAATCTAAAAAGTGTGGTTGCTGGAGATGCCAGTTCAAGGCCAGTGCATACCTGCGCCACACTGGTACCTTTTTGGCTACCCCTCAGCCTTTGTTCCTAAAGCCCTGCTACCAGATAGGTCTTTCACACAACAAAGCTCCTGATGTTAAATGTCCATGAAGACAAGGTAAAGAGAATTACCCAAGTTCTGAATCTGAGCCTGCCATTTACGGGGCCAACAGGTTTGAGAATTTCTGGCCAGCTAGAGCTATGCATTGTCTCCATGGCTTAGGAAAGTATAGGAAGATCAGGTTACTGAGCAGCGAGCCAGGAAGCTCAGAAGTGCTCTCTGGGAAGTTTCCAGAGCTCAGGCTCATACAGCACACTGTTAGGTGCAGAGAATCCAAGGGAAACAAGGGGTCTCCAATGGACAGGAGTGCTGGCTGGACAGGGTCAGATCCTTGGTGTGCGTGTGAGCACAGCACCCACTTCCATGTGGAGCACGTGAGCACAGCACCCACTGCACAGTGGAGCATGTGAGCACAACGCCCACTGCTATGTGGAGCACTTGAGCACAGCGCCTACTTCCATGTGGAGCACATGAGCACAGCACCCACTTCCATGTGGAGCACATGAGCACAGCACCCACTTCCATGTGGAGCACTTGAGCACAGCGCCCACTGCTATGTGGAGCACTTGAGCACAGCGCCCACTTCCACGTGGAGCACATGAGCACAGCACCCACTTCCATGTGGAGCACATGAGCACAGCACCCACTTCCATGTGGAGCATGTGAGCACAGTGCCCACTTTCATGTGGAGCACTTGAGCACAGCGCCTACTGCTATGTGGAGCACTTGAGCACAGCACCTACTTCCATGTGGAGCACGTGAGCACAGTGTCCACTTCCAGGTGGAGTGGCTCCTGCCACGGAATGAGCTCCAAAGGAAGTTCTGTTTAGAGTAAGTAGGAAGCCCTGTCATTATTTCAATAGCAAATCAAATAAATTTATAAGGGAAATGTGATTTGTGAGGTGTTGTATTTTGTTTGAGCCAGCAAGGAGAAGCTAAAAGAATACTCTCCCTTGGTTTCTTTAACAGGTGAATAAGAAACCGGACAGACTGTATGAGTCAGAGGTCAGGGAGGATCGGAGCAACAGCAGGACCACAGCATCAAGAACTCACAGCCGCTGTGGCTGCCGACCTATCAAGCTGTGAAGGCTCCAGCATGGAGTGGGAGGAGCTTGTGAGCCCTCAACCCTAGCTGGGGATCTACAGATGTGTTCTGGCTGCTGGGGCAGGAAGAGTCTGTTTTCTATAGGGAGGTGGCTCCCGGTAGTTAACCAAGCTCCAGAAGATGACTGCACACGGGTACATGGGCAGCAGAAACTGGCACCCAAAGTTTATTGGGATGATAGGGGATGGATGGATGACACAAAGTTGGGGGGCAGCAGGGAGTGGATATGTGAAGAGTTAGAGAGGAGTGGAGAGGGAAAACGTAAACAAAATACATTGTATGAAATTCTCAAAAACAAAAATATTCTTTAAAAACTAGAAACAACAACCCGAACACCACTAGTGAGAGACAAGTACCTGTGTTTGCGTGTTTCCTCCTTCCAGCAAGGCGATGCCAAGCAAAATGCCTTCGGAAAAAATCCTGTCGTTTTTGGTGTTCACTATGACATCAATGACAAGTTCGGATGCTCCTTCTTTGTCCAGCAGACACTGGATATCGGACATTGAAATCCCCATCTTATCTGAGTCCTGTCCAGAGAAGCCTCCTGTGGTCAGGGGAAAAAATAAAACAAACCCCCAGCAAATCGCCTTCATCACAGACATCCTTTTATAGCAGCAAATAGTGTTTTCAGGTACTTAAACCATAACGACATGTGCCACAGGGAAGTTTAGTTACAAATATAAAAAATATATAAAGACAAAAATCTTAAAGAAATGTCTGGCATGTAAGTCAATGTCATTAACTGTTTTTCTTAAAGTACTCTGGAAAGAGCTGGAGAGATGGCTCAGCAGTTAAGGGCACTGGCTGCTCTTGCAGAGGACCTGCGTTTGATTCCAGCACCCAAACGGTGGCGTGAGTCACTGTAACTCCAGTTCTGGGGAATCCAACGCTCGACAAGCACACATGTATACAGACACATGTGCAAGCACTCACACGTATGTGTAAGATAAAGATAAATAAATCTTTAGAAAAGTACTCTACAAATGTTATCCTTAATGTGTGCACAAAGAAACTATAACAAACTATCCAGAGTCAAAAGGCAAAATGCACTATAATTCTCAAACCTGTGGATTCAAGAACCCCAAACTACACAACGGCTTTCACTGGTGTCCCTTAAGGGAGGCGGGGGGAGAGCAGCGCTGCCGTGGAGATGCGCCATGGACCTGAAATGGGGATGATGAGCACCTACCTCCCACTTGTGCAGTCTTGGCGTAGGCCCCGGACAGAGGTCCATTTGCACCAACGCCATGGTCACCTTTGAAGTACCGGTTCAGAAGGATTCTCCGGAGTATGCTACCCTGGAAGAAGAGAGCTGTCATCATTTTTTAAAATAGAAGTAAAGAATGGCAACATGCTAAATGCAAATATATCTGAAGTAAAAACGTGAGAAAAATAATTTTATGCCAAATCAGTATTTTTGAGGGAAAAAATTGCAAAGGTTCCCAGTAACAGTAATAAGTTTGCTTTTTATAACAGTGAAGTGAGTGGTCATGAGGCTCCTGCGTGCACTGTGGAGATGTCTCCTCATCCCTGGACCCATCAAACTGTACACACTAAACACATACTGACCGGAGAGCTGTGGGGCTGGCTCAGTGGGTAAAGGAGCTTGCCACCAAGGCTGGAGACCTGAGTTCAGTCCCTGGGATGTACTTGGTAGAAGGAGAAACCTGACTCTTGAAAGCTGTCTTCTGACTTCCACATACATGCTGTGGCATGCACATGCACACACACATGCACACACACAATAAATAAATAATGTAAACATATGTATGCATGCATGCATGCATGTATTATGCACATACACTTTTATATGTAGAGGCCAAGGAGATGGCTTAATGGGTGAGCACACTTGAAGCTAAGCCTGGCAACCTGAGCTTGATCCCTGGGACACACCTAGTAGAAGGAGAGAATTGACTCCTATACACATGTGGTATGCCATGCACATGACCCCCACACTCACACATGCACACATTAAATCAATGTAATAATCATAAATTTGCTCAATGGGAAAAGCTGGGGTCCTAGTGTTGAGCAGAACACTGGTGGCACCTAGAGAAGACAGCAAACACCCTGAGGCCTGGAGAGTGAGGCTTGTGGGGGCTGAGCACAGAGACCTGGGGAAGAGCTGGTATACAGCTGGTGCTCCAATGACCCACAGAGACCTGGGGAAGAGCTGGCACACAGCTGGTGCTCAAACAACCCACAGAGACCTGGGGAAGAGCTGGTATACAGGTGGTGCTCAAACAACCCACAGAGACCTGGGGAAGAGCTGGTATACAGGTGGTGCTCAAACAACCCACAGAGACCTGGGGAAGAGCTGGTATACAGGTGGTGCTCAAACAACCCACAGAGACCTGGGGAAGAGCTGGTATACAGCTGGTGCTCAAACAACTAAACTTGACAAAATAAAGTGAGTTCTGTTCAGACTCTGAGACTGGGTTTTATTCTAAAGAAAAGGACAGTATATTTCTTTATAAATCAACTTCTAAAACTCCTGTCTTCCACACTTTAAAACAAGGAGGAAGAGGCAGGGACACAAACAGGGAAGGAGGAGGAGAAAAACAAAATACCGTGTTTCTCTTACATAGGGAATCTAGAATCAAACATACACGTGTATGCACACGCACCTATGTGTGACATGAACACAGATGAGGGACTATTAGGGGATGCAGAGGACCTGTGTGAGGAGGCAGTAGGGAAGAGGGGAGAGTAGTGTGTGGGGTACGAACAAAGGAGAATAATAAATGCATACCAAATGTCCCGTGAAAGCCATTGTAGTCTGTGCTAACCAGAAATGACTTGAAAAGGTAAATATGATTGCTGGCTTGCACGTAACTGCTGACACTGGCCCCACTCCTGAGGTGGCTCCCACAGTGCAGGGAGGAAGCCTGAGCTTGCATGACTGGTTACAGATGCACAGTTCACAGGTCTCAGGCCAGGGCTTCACTTCTCTGACTACAAGCCCGCCCATGTCCAGGTGCCTGCTCCACTGGCCCCCACCCTTCCCCAGCGCTTTCTATGTGCCCTGCTACTCCAGATTCACACACTCCTCCCCAGCACGGTGACATCCGGCTCCTGCCCTTGCTGCCTCTGAGTACTCTGGTTATTCTGCCTCCAGTTCCAGGAGCTTGCCCTGGGTCCCGGAACTGGACTTCCCCCTCCCCCTCTCCCCTCCCCCTCCCATCCCCCTCTCCCCTCCCCCCTCCCCCTCTCCCTACCTGCACTGGCTTCTCATCCTCTGTTGCACACTCAGGCCTGGCAGACACTGCACCTCCTCCAGCCTGATCTCGCTCCCCTAAGCCACTCAGTGCTTCCCTTGGATTTCTTGTTCTCTGTCTTGCACCAGCACAGGAAACTCAGAAAGGAACATTCCTTCTCCTTGAACCTGTCTTCCTCTCCATATCAACTCATTGTAACAGCATTACCATCACCCTGGCTGCTCACTAGCAATGGCTTCTGAATCCTACCTTTTCGTGGGAGCTTCTGGGTGCTTTGACGCTATATTTAAACCAAACTAAGATATATTTTCTACATCTCCCTGTTTGCTTAAGGACAAGGCCTGTCTTACCTCTGCAGCCTACATGCTCCTGGGAAGCTGCTCCTTCAGGCACCATATGAAGAGAAGAAGGTAGACCTTCCTGGCTGTCAACTTGATTAGATTTAGAGTCACCATGGCAACACACCTTTAGGTATGCCCTTGAAAGTGTTTCCAGAAAGTTTAGCTGGGGAAGGAAGACCTACCCGAACGGGAATAGAACCATCTCATGGATTGGGGTCTGTGAATTAATAAAAAGGAAAGGGTACTCATCTCTCCTTGCTTCTTGCCTATGGGTGTGATATCATGGACACCTCACACTCACACTTGTGTACACCTCACACTCACACTTGTGTGCCATGCCTTCCTTGCCATCATGCCTGCACCCTCCGGAGTGAGTCAAAAGAGACCTTCCCAACCTTAAGCTGCTTTTGTTGAGTATTTCGTCACATCAAAGAGAAAAACAACCAACACAGCATTCAAGAGTTTACAGTGAGATGTGTTTCTCCACTGTCACGTGTCCTGGGGGCTCCAGCAGCCTTTAAAGGAGGGCAGGCTGTGCAAGCCACACACATCCACAAACACCAGAGCAGATGTGTCTCATGCACAGTGAGCAACAGGACACCCTCGGTGTTCCGGAGCCAGGAATTTAATGGATGCTGCACCTACGGTTGCTCGTCTTCTCAGTGACTTTCATTTATTGATGCCTTTATTCTTGGAGCACAGACACCGCTTCTCATCTTGTGCTCTCTCTAACTCTTTTCACGTGAGGCTGTAGTACATAAAGATGATGACGAGGCTTAGAAGAAGCTGGGGACGGAGACCTGACTGCCCTCTGGAGGCACCTCTGCTGTCCTCCACTGAACCTAAGGAACCCAGGGGCTCGGCGGGGCAGAGCACACGCTGCTCTTGCAAAGGGCCTGGGTTCAGTTCCCAGCACCCATGTATGTCAGGTGGTTCATGGCTCCAGGGCATCGGAGGGAACCTACACACGCGCTGCGCGCGCACACACACGATTAAAAACAGATCTTTTCAAAAACCCAAAGATGTTCTTAGAGGAGGCAAGAGCCATATAAATACGCATTACTTCCTCTTTTTTTTTTTAAGGGAGCGTCCTTTTTGTTGAATTAGCTCTGTCTTTTTAAGGAACGATCCTCCAAAATCAGGGACAAAACATTTCTTTGGTATCCAATGGGTTTTTCCTCTGCCTCTCCCAGTGGCCGGAGGTGAGGCCATGAGAGCGTTGGTGAACTCAAGCCTAGGACTGAAATCATCAGGGAGACTCGGAAGCCTGTGGCCTATGACCCCAGGGCTGCCACTGCAGCCACTGCTGTTGTTCTGAGACAGAGTCTCGCTCTAAAGCCCAGCATGGCCTTCAACTCATTGCAATCCTCCTGCCTCTGCCTTCAGGGTTCGGGGTTTACAGGCATGCACCACCATGCCCAGCAGACACTGGTTTATGGGTCACCCTGCCTGTTGTTCACACCAGTCATGCCTCTCTCCTCCACAGCCTGACTGATAGAACCCTGCAAGACAAGCTGGGGTGTCCACAAGGACCGAGGAAGACGAAAGTAGAGGCCAGCCCTCTTCTTGTGCAGTCAGTGTTGGTGTCTGCAAAGGGCTTGTTGTGAGTCAAGGTCTGGATCCTGAGCCAGTTTCTCGTTCACACCTTTAATACAATTCCCCAAAATTCCAACCAAGAAAGAAACATCATTCTCCTAAAGTAGACGGGAGGAGGAGGAAGAAAAATGAAATATTTGTGCATTGTGGCCCATACCCATAATCTTAGCGCACAGGAGGCTGAAGCAGGAGGATTGTCATGAATGAGAGGCCAGCCGGCACTATGTAGTGAGTTTTGGGTACCGAACTATGGAGTGAGAGATCTTGTCAGAAATAAAACACTGTATTATTGTTTTAGCACTAAAAAAAAAAAATTCCGTATAGGGTTAGAAGAATAGTGTTTTTTAAAGCCACAGAGTCAGCTGCTGCATGGCTGCAAGCCACTATGACTAAAATAATGATATTTGCCAACCCCATAAAACCCTCTTGGGCAGATAAAACACAGACTGGTGAGCACCAGTCACCAAGCAAAGCCTCCTTCTCGGGTCCATGATGTTCAGGTTCACGATGTATTTTCCAACAAATATCAGAATGTCACTGAACGGGGAAGCCAGGGGTTGCGACTCCTGGGCCTCTAGACTCGGGGAATGCAGCACCCAGATTCTAATGTCCCTGTGCCCTTATTAACCAGGGAATCTCACATAGGCTACCTCACCACCCTGAGCCTCCATCCTCAACTGGCAAATGAAACAGTAGTTGAACGTCCCTCCACAGTTCTCAGGGTGGACGAGGGCCGTACAAAGTGAGCAGATCCAATGACGTCCCTGCTACGTTAATACAGCCGAGCACACAGAAGCACAGCTTCGCACTGTTGTACATTTCCTGAGTTTACACCAAACTTTCCCACAGAAGTGAAAATGTTACCTAAGATACTGAGAAGAGGGAAAAAAATTATCAACTACCTCACAATCCTAGCTTTTCCCAGTTGATCATTGTGAGTGAATGTGGAAAAATCAGTCCCAAGCATATACTTACATCACTGTAGAAAATATGCTCCATAATTTCAAATAAAGCGGGAAAAATTCTATCTTGGTTTGAAGGACATTGTTCAGCTAAGAGAACCATCCCTACTTAAGCATGGCAGACTCTAGTGCCGGCAGACCTCAGTGCCGGCAGACCACCAGTGCCTGCAGACCTCAGTGC